TTACTCGGTGTGTGGCCGGAACCGAGAAAAGTATCAAGAGGATCACGTTTACTATCTAGTATAATATTCTGGTTTACGACTATTGTGACGTTTACTTTCATCTGTGTACCACAAACAGCAAATCTGGTATTGAAATCGACTAATTTCAACGAAATAATCGAAAACCTATCGATTAATATACCGATCGCCTTTGCATTGATTAAGCAGATCGTTCTACGATATTATAAGAAAGGTATTTATACCTATATATATTTATAGCTACATTTATGTTTATGATTATGTTTACGTTTACGTTTACGTTTACGTTTACGTTTACGTTTACGTTTACGTTTACGTTTACGTTTACGTTTACGTTTACGTTTGTGTTTACGTTTGAGTTTACGTTTGAGTTTACGTTTATGTTTACGTTTATGTTTACGCTTGTGTTTACGTTTGTGTTTACGTTTATGTTTACGTTTATGTTTACGTTTGTGTTTACGTTTGTGTTTACGTTTGTGTTTACGTTTACGTTTGTGTTTACGTTTATGTTTATGTTTACGTTTATGTTTACGTTTATGTTTACGTTTATGTTTACGTTTATGTTTACGTTTATGTTTACGTTTATGTTTACGTTTATGTTTACGTTTATGTTTACGTTTATGTTTACGTTTATGTTTACGTTTATGTTTACGTTTATGTTTACGTTTATGTTTACGTTTATGTTTACGTTTATGTTTACGTTTATGTTTACGTTTATGTTTACGTTTATGTTTACGTTTATGTTTACGTTTATGTTTACGTTTATGTTTACGTTTATGTTTACGTTTATGTTTACGTTTATGTTTACGTTTATGTTTACGTTTATGTTTACGTTTATGTTTACGTTTATGTTTACGTTTATGTTTACGTTTATGTTTACGTTTGTGTTTACGTTTACGTTTGTGTTTACGTTTATGTTTACGTTTATGTTTATGTTTATGTTTACGCTTGTGTTTACGTTTGTGTTTACGTTTGTGTTTACATTTGTGTTTACGTTTATGTTTACGTTTGTGTTTACGTTTATGTTTACGTTTATGTTTATGTTTATGTTTACTTTTACGGTACGGTCACGGTTACGATTACGGTTTCGTTTGCGTTTACGTATTCGTTTATTTACTTACTAATTTATTTTTCCAAATCTACCTAATCAAAGAAATAAAATCTAAACGGAGACTTATTTCACCTTTGTAATATTCTAAGAAATATTTTATGTAGCCGTATGAATCTGTATTCAATAGATTTTTACTAATTTTCTCATAAATGCATAAATATCCATAGCTAATAAGTCTTTCAAGGTTTTAAATCAAGCTAAATTAATTTTATCCCTTTTAGTATCAATACGTAAAATCAATTATTCCCTATCAATACTTAATTTCGAAATACATACTTGCGTACATCAAGTATGTATAATAGGCCATACGTGAGCTAATTTAACTAGAAACAGAAAGATCCAATTACTGATGCTGCACCCCATTACCCATTAATATTTTTCTAAATTATGTGACGATATCCACAAATATAATGTACATATAACAATTAATATCTTCTTAGCCTTAACGCTGTTACTCAGCCAAATGTTCGACGACTGGACCGAGCCAATCGCAAATCAAGATCGTCAAACGATGTTAAAGAACGCGCAAATTAGTCGAATGATATCTATAGTCTGTTCCACTCTAACGTATCTCATGCTTTTCGCTTTTATATCGCTACAAATTTGGAGTAATATGCAAAGTGCGTCAGAAGCCGATCTAGGAGGACTCCTTCATCCAGCTACGTTTCCTTACAACACCAGCAAGAGTCCAAATTTCGAACTCACGTGGCTGGGTCAATTTATAGGCACGATGTTAGCAGGGATATCCTATTCCTGCTTCGACACGTTCCTTGCGGTTCCTGTGTTACATTTGTGCGGTCAATTAACTGTTCTTAGAATGGCACTCGAGGATCTAGCTAACGCGACGAAGGAGGATAATAATTACGCAAGGTTCCATGAACGACTGGGATTCATTGTGAACAGGCACAATCTGTTATCTAGGTTGGTACAAACGATCTATTAGTGAACTAAAAATGTTTATTAAAATGTTTATTAAAATAGGTCTTAAAAGAAGATTTATTTCCCTCACCAATTATTTAAAAAAAAGAAAAGAAAAATAAATTAAGTGTTACTTAAAGAAAAGAAAATGTTAATAAATTTGGAAAATGAAAAATGCAAAACAATAATTTAATTAAATTAGAATTTAAAGAAGCATTTGTAATCCAAGGTTTGCCGTGATCATGGAAGATTGCTTCAATCTCACGTTACTTGTTCAGACTGTAATCTGCACAGCGATGTTTTGTCTGACTGGATATCGTATGATAACTGTATGCTGAAGTTAATATTACATTGATATTTTTCCGACGAGATAAGAAATTGCTATATAATGTACATTCCTTTCCATTTTAGTCCGTAGATCAGGAGCAAGCGGACATACGAATAGTTGGAATGATGTTTTTCATCATACACGTAATTTATACTATGCTGCATCTTTTTATTTATTGTTATATAGGAGAAATGCTTCTAGGGGAAGTGAGTTATTTATATATAAATGGAAAATTTTGTTAAAGAACGAAAATTCAATTTCTTTCTCGCAAAAGTAACGCTCCACACGCCCTAATACAACATTTACTTTCAGAGTACCGGTGTTGGGCAATCAGCATACGAGTGCGATTGGTACGATTTACCACCGAAGAACGCGATTTCGCTAATTATCGTAATATGTCGCGCGAAAGTATCGTTTCAAATAACAGCTGGCAAATTCAGTCCCTTCTCGCTCGAACTCTTTAATGCTGTGAGTCAAACGATCATGCATCTAAATTATTTTCTAATGGATTTTTACATACAGTTAGACATGGATCAGAAGAGTTGACAATGATATTTTGTTAGGTTCTAAAAACGTCTGCCGGATATCTTTCAGTATTGTTAGCCATGAAGGATTGACTGTTCGGAGAAGAGTAACATAATCGTATGGTTGAAATATATTGGTTCTTGTATATGAGAGAAAAAATAAAAAAACACTGTAAACCGAACGTTTTATAAAATTACGCTACATGTTGAATAAATATTTTGATATCCGTTCAGAGGTCATGTTCACGATTCATATAGTCCCATAACAATGCTTTTATCCGAAGTAATTGCACAAACATTCGAAGAAACTTTTGGTAAAACGATCAAAACATCGAAATATTTATAAAACTCACATTTCGTAGAAATGGCACGTCTTCTGCTTTTCGTTATTTCCTTGTCATTTTCACTTCACCGTTTTAAGTTCCTGCAAGAAAAAAATATGAAATAAAAAAATGCATCCTGTATTATATATACATAATATTATAGGAAAACAATGATATTGCTGTCATTAATATAAAAAAAATTGCACTTGTATAACATAACATAGAAAACCACTAGATACAAATAGAAAGCAAGCGATATGTCGCGGAGAGCTATCTATACGTTGTATCACTGCAGCATACAGGGAAAGACTGCCCTTACATAGACTTCTGAAACTACCTAAACCCTAAGTGAAGAATATGACAGAGGAAAGTTCGTTCTGGACTACGTACTATATTGAAGGTATTGGCATTACTATATAACTACACATTTAAAAAATTTGCATAGAAGAGAAATGAAATTTTTAATTACGTTATATTTTATTTTTATATATTAATCCTACAAATATAATATAATAAACATGCCACATAAATGTAACCGGTACAAATTTAATTCAATCTATTTCATAAACATAATTTTACAAACTGTATGTTTTATATTTTATAGAATTCCTGGGCATTATATTCATCGACTAAACAAATTTCTTTGACAACGTTACCTTCTAGTAATAATTGTAATTATTCATAGATTATTTGCTCGATGTGATCCAATTTCTTTTACTTGTGAATTTTTACATGCATCCATGAAAGGAACGTAGTATATACTGAGAGAGTTGCAAAGACGCAGGCGTCACTTGCTTCTTTTTTATTTTCTCGTGTCGTGGAAGAAGTTATGAATAATTACAAATGAATACATACTTGCAACAGCCAAACTGTAATGATAGATTCAACTTACCTCGACATAAAGTTGAGAATGACACTATACTGCATATTCACGAATAATTGATATCATAATGCGCATTCTGACTGCATGAAGGGGACATGCGCTGAGAAAAACGACGGAATAACTCCCCAACGTAAGAACAGGTGATTCAGTTATGGGAAAAAGGGCCTCTATGGATAACCAACAAGGTAATGTTATATATTAGATAAAAAATATTTGTAAAATGTAGCAGTAGTTGTAGAAAATTTTCTTTTATCTTAATTGTTAATCTTAATTGTTAAAAATAAATGATTATGTAAGTGAAAATAATACAGAAGGAGTAAAAGCGAAGGAAATTATATTTTTAAGTAATATACATACACCGCAAACAGAAAAAGAAATATTGTATATTAAATTTTGAGGTCGAAAACTATTTTTTAGTAAACAATGATTTAGATTTAAAATACCAAAAAAATGGAGACTATATTTTTGAAGAATACTAAAGTTAGAAAAAGAATGTTACGTATATATATATATATATATATATATATATATATATATATATTATTGGCATGCAGAATTATTTATTAAGCGCCTATTTATGATAGATGGAAACATAGATTTAAACTATGTGTATGGTTGGAACTATCACATGCTAAAGTTTATGGGTATCTGGCCGGAAGAAAGGAAATGGAACCGGCCTTCCAGTTATCACATTCTCTTACCGTTTATCATGATGGTGTGCTTCGCATGTGCCCCACAAACTATTAATCTTTTGTTAATCGCGGGTAATTCTAATTTGGTGATCGAGAATCTTTCGACTAATATTACTACCACGATTTCACTTATGAAGGCTATGGCTGTTTGGATCAAAGGCAAACGTAAGCATTTCAGAAAATTAACAAGTAAGGATTTATCATGTTTCTTTTCAGTAAGAATACTGCCAAATATAAACTATATAAATCTTATTCTATTATTCTACTTCATTATATTCTATTACCTATCTACGTTATATTCTACAATATTCTTTAATCATATTTCAATTGTCAAACAAAATGGACTCTCAAGACGTACTCTATCTGCCATTTTCTCTTATTGCAAGCATTAAAGTTTTTGGTAAAGTGCATGGCTAATGACTGGAACACAACGACGGACAAAGCCGAACGAGAAACAATGGTGAACATCCGGAGGATCACTAGAAAGACTACAATAAGAAGCACGTTGATGGCCAACATTGTCCTTCTCGCTTTTGTGCCTGCACGGTTGTTTAGTATGAGATACAGTGACAACATGCTGTTCTATCGTGGCTATTTCCCCTATAACATTACCATCAGTCCAAATTACGAATTGACAATGATCGGTCAATTCATGGCTACTTTTTATGCGGCCACTACGTACACAGCAGTAGATACTTTTGTCGTTCTGTTGATTTTCCATGTCTGCGGACAGCTTTCGAATTTGAGGGACGATTTACGGAAGATTCATTCGTACGATAAGAAAGATCTGGAAAAGAAGTTGCAGAAAATTATTCAGAAGCATGAATATATTAGTAGGTTCGTATTCAAAAAATTTGTTCTTTTTGAAGATAATAAAAAAAGATGGAAGAAGCACAGTGATGAGTATAAATTATAATAAGAAGAATTATGAGATATTAATTAACGAAATTGAAATTCAAGAATTTAAAATCTTTCTAAGTCCATCTTTTACTTTCTTTGTTTTAACCATTAAATGCATAATTTTGCCATCTGACAATTATTAATCATGTCGTATGCATATCTAAGATTCGCCAACAAGATAGAAAATTCTTTCAACATGATGCTCCTCCTTCAAATGCTAAGTTGCACCATTCAGATATGCTCTCAATCTTACCAAGTCATTATGGTACGAAGAAAACATACCTTTTCCAAATGTATATCGCACTAAAGTATCAACAAATTTTCTAAAATAAATACACCATCTTTGACATCATTTAATTTATAGTCATTTGGAGAGCAAGAGATGGAATACATGATTTTGCAACTTTCGTTTCTGCTGATATACGTAGTTTATGTGATGTTGCATTTGTTCCTATATTGTTACATGGGCGAAAAACTAACTTCCGAGGTACCTTTTATGAAAGAAAAATTAATTAATCGATGTTTTCGGTAATTAAAATTTGCAATTTTTTTCAGAGTACAGAAATTGCTGACACGGTGTACAATGCCGAATGGTACAATTTACCTCCCAAGAATGCAAGATGGCTTATAATTATCATGTGTCGTGCCAGGGCTTCGCCTTTAAAAATTACAGCAGGCAAATTTTGTTCCTTTACTTTAGTGCTATTCTCTCAGGTAAGCGTGGACGAGTCATAATACAATTTACTCTAAAATGTGTTATAACGCAAGCGTGTCATTAGCAGAATTGAAATGTGCATTCGATAAATTCGTCATGTCATGCGCTTTCGTATGAGATAAAAAAACGTACAGCATTCTGCTTCAAAAACTGTAGTTCACTCTCGTTTCTCGAAAAATACTGAAAATATTAAAAATATATATATATGCTATTACACTGGTCATAGAAAACTATAAAATTTTTTCCTCGACCACTTTTTTCTAATATATGCAATTTACAAGAAAAACACTGGCTAATAAATCCGTAAACGCCCTATACATTTAAGATTTAGTTCAAATATAAGATAAGATGTATGTATATGTTTAAGATAGGAATGTAAACTGGTGAAAGTCTTTAGATAGAACAATATTCTAAAAGAAATGCGAGAATGTGTAGAAGTTAGAAAAATACGTAATCCAGACCCTTCGTCTGGGCTGTGAAAACGAATAATAATATAAAAAAGAACAATATACATATGTGACATTTCATATTTACCTAAACATATACAGAGCAATTTCTTTTTCTTGTGTTTAGGTCTTAAAAACCTCGATGGGATATGTTTCTGTTCTACACGCAATGAAAAATAAATAATATACTTCTGCAAATTTTACAACTGTCCATTAACTTGATAAAAGAAGTATTACGAGAAGAAAATCTTAATATATTCCTCTAAACGATAAATTATGCCTCAAAGCAACAAGAAGTAAAAAAACGAGATGAAAAACTTGACAGCGTAAAGAGTAATCGAATTATTAATTATTAACAAGATTCCTCGAGACCACGAATATTTCTGACGAAACATTTTTCTTTCTTCTTGTGTTCATTTTTCTCCACATCGACATTTTTTCTTTTTTCTTTTTGCTTTGGGTGCATAATACTTGAGCAGCTTTAAACTTATTTCTAGTTGACTACTTACAGACGATCCGCAGACACGCTATTGATGAATATTTAACCAGTCTACGATCCGTAACCGCAGCTGATACTTTTGTTACAAGTGTTGCTCGTGTTAGGTATCATCATTGTCCACTGTCATTTTCCCTATTTCTCATCGATTATGCGCTCTTTTTGAGGTGGAAACTTGGACACATTGCGAATGGACGACAGTTGGTATACCATCACGAGTAGCTACGATCAGAAGCAATGGTGTTACTGCTATTATACTATAATATAAAAATAATATAAATAATACAATTATGCTAAAATATAATATATTGAATCATCAAGAAAACTCTGAATCAATAGCCCGCGAATTTTTTAGCAAATTCATATTTCCATGAATATCATTTAAGAAAATAGAATTTGGATAAAAAATTGTTTTACTTTCTGGATATTATAGAGAATACTGTACTGTATCACGTGCATTTTGTGTAATTTATCATTTCCAAAATTTCCATAAATCCATGAAAATCCGAAATCTGTTAATCAGTAAAAATTGTTTGTTCGTATAGAATAACGATTAAGAATACATAGAAGAAAACTTGTAGAAGTTATTTGCAAGAGTTTTCACCGTTTATTTCCGTCAACGTTGACGAATGAAAGTTCGCGTGGTGCGTGGCTAATAAACGTTATTAACAATTGTGTATGGAACACCATCACAATGGGTGAAAACAAAGAGAGATTGGCCATAGTTTTCTTTGATGCGCGCAGATAAAAAATAAACGAGTTGTACGGTTTGCTGGCAACAGAAAACGTCACCTTATAAAAATCACCGCTCCCATCGTCTGCGACGTTACTTTAGTTCTTCTCATGTCGCGAAGTACACGACTTTTCTCTTACACGAGAACTTACAATAATTTTTTCTTTGTACGATGAATAATTTCGATTATAATTAATACTTGATTTGTTTCGTGAGATACTTTTAGTTTGACCAAAAGGTCCAGTCTGTTGTGTATATGGTGAGAAATTAAATTAAGTTGACAGAAAATGATGTTAAACGCGAAGATTTTGATTATCATGGGATTAGTGAGTTATGGGGTTATTGCTAGAAACATGGAAGGCAATAAAGAGCTTCTTAAGGAACCAAATAATAAGAAGAATGGAGTTTCTATGTTGATGGAAATAGCGAAGGAGCTTGTACAAAGATCCTCGACTAGTAGTCAGGTATGTCATCATATAATAATATATTATATTATAAATATAATAGTGAATTATATTTATTATGTACATATTTAATATCGTATACAAGGTGTTTCTAGCACCTTAGCTTAGGTCAAATACATTTATATTCAATTTAAGAAAGTAAAGGCAACTGGAATCTTTGATTTCGCCTCTGCTTCAGAAGCAAATACATATACCTCGTGTTGCACTATGCGAAATTATTTAATTTTAATTCGTGAAATATTCGTCTACATAGTTTCAACATTTTCGGTGAGAAATATCTTATACAGTAGCATAATAATGATAACAGAAATTATTGCAAAACTGAACATACTGAAGTAATTTTGTCAGAAATTATAAAATAAACGAATTAAGAATAGATGAAGTATTAATTTTTAACGATACAATTCTTACAGGTATTGAATCTGAATTTATCAAATTTGTTATTACTTTTGGTATTGAAAGCAGTCGTATTTGGAGCAGGATATCTAGGCCATCATGGTTACAAAGGACGCGACTTAGAAGAAGGTGTACTTTATCAAAACAATTATCAAAATTGAACAATGTTTTCTTATATTTAGACATACGAAATATTGAAAATAATAATATATTTCTAGAAAATGTGGTATCTGAAGCTGAAGTTACGTTGGCATTAGGATACTTAATGGGAGATACCTGTCTGTATAGAGCAGCTTGTGAAGAACCTCACGTCGCGAAAGAATATCTAGGAGCTGCAGAAATGATCATCCAAACGATAAAATTGCTACCCCAGTACATAATTTATAATAAATTTTTCTAAATATATCTTTTAGTTTGTCTAGCGCTAGATTATGAATTTTCATGCCTTTATGGAAAAAAGATACAAAGGATAAATAAAATGCATATAATATTCAAAAATGTATAAAATATACAAAGTAAAGTATTTTTTATACATAATATTTAGTACATGAAATAAATCTCTACACAGGTCCCGTTTCTTTGTGTTCATAAAGGCATAAATATACATAAATATTCGCAGCTTATAATTTTTAAAAATAGCTGTATCTACTTTTCAGAGGTTCGTCGATTGAAGGGAAGTACCAGCAAATAGTGACGGAATTCCGAAAAGCCATCGAACATGGTGTTGCAGATAATTGTCCGCCTCAATATACTTGCAAGAAAGAGAATATTAAGAATTTTTTGAAAGAAGAGGGGAAATGAAAACATGCTGAATTAATAGTTGATGCTCTGGAAGAACCTATAGTATTTGTTGAATGCTTCCAAAAATAAATTGTACGCTTCTAAATGACTCCTTTAATTTTTTACCATTATTACATTTGTCCATGGAGCTCTTTTTTGTTATTTGTCGATTTGATAATTAGTGTCAATTGAAAAAAACTAACCTCTATCAATTTTCCTTTTTTAAACAAATTGATCATTTTTCTAGTAACGTCGTAGATTACAATGATTGTTAGGCTTTATATAATTAATTTCTGACAGTGTAAAAACCAAAGTACTTAGGTGCACTAAGAATTGAACTTGAAATATTCAGATTGTGCTGAAAAATTTTATTTTATTAGAGACCAGTATTAAAAATTACTAACAATATACACGCAGTATATCTGCATAATTTTAACATATTACATATTTAGTTACCTGCTTCTTCCTCCAAAACTATCAAGAATCTTACTTCGCAGTTTCAAATTCGTATTCATATGCGCCATCTTGATGTTTTCTAGCATTCCTTTCCTAGAAATGATTTAATTTTTATTGAAAAAACGTAAAAACAGTAGTATCTGACAAAATATGTATTATCTTAAACATAACGAGATACTTAATTAAAACGTTAAACGTTGATTTACCTAATTTTTCTTATTTTATTTCAATTTTACGACGAAGAAATAACGCATTAGTATCACAGTCGTTTAAAAACTAAAAGCTTTCGTATTCGCCGCCAGACGTCAGTTCTGCAGTTTGACAACTAACCTATCATGATGAGGCATACAGCATTGACGATCAAGTTTTGATTTTCGCCTATTCACGCCGTTTGAGCATATAAACAATTTTTGCCTGTAATAGTATTACAGTACTTATAACTACGATTGACTAAACAATGAGTTCCATAGGCACAGGGGTAAATATATAGTGTATTAATTTAAAAGAAACTGTGATAATCCATTAGTTATGAACAATTATAAAATATAACCTCCTTCTGATTTTCAGTATGATTTGTCTGCTTCTCAATTTTCACCTGACGGACGTGTGTTTCAAGTGGAATATGCACAAAAAGCCGTCGAAAATGGAGGGTGAGTGTTCAAATAGTTTTATTCATCAATTTATCCTAAAAATATCTTTTGCGGATTTGGTTATCTACACCGTTCACAAGACTTTAAGGATACTGCAGTGACACAGAGAATTTTCAATAATTTATAAACTTTTGTTATAGTTTAAAATATTTATTTGAAAATTATATTGCTTTGATTATAGAACAGTTATAGGATTAAGAGGAAAAGATGGCATTGTATTTGCTGTGGAAAAGATAGTTACTTCCAAGCTTTATGAGGTTGGCACAAATAAAAGAATATTCAATATAGACAAACATCTTGGTATGGCAGTTTCTGGTTTGATATCCGATGCCAGACAGATCGTAGAGATCGCTAGATCCGAAGCATCTAGCTACAAATCCCAATATGGAATTGGTATTCCTCTGAAATACTTAAACGAAAGAGTTTCTATGTACATGCATGCGTATACTTTGTATTCGGCAGTCAGGCCATACGGCTGTTCTGTAATACTTGGTGCATATGAACACGATGGCCCAGCTATGTATATGATAGATCCTTCTGGAGTTTCATATGGGTACTACGGTTGCGCTGTTGGTATGTATTAATATATGAGATATGTCCATTTTAAATATATACATATGATTATTTTTATAAATATCTTCTATAAACATCTATAAACATCGGATACAATTTTTAATTTTTTACAAAAAAATATTAAAATACTTTGGTCAGAAGTGATTAATTTGAAAGATATTTTGACTTTAATCTTGTAAAATTTATTGTATGAAAGGCAAGGGAAGGCAACGCAACTTTTTTATGTTTATATTTTCCTTGCCTTTCATACGATAAGTTTTACGAAAGTAAAGTTAAAATATCTCTCGAACTAATCATTTTTTAATCAAGGTACCTTAATACTTTTTTGTAGAGAATTAAAGTATGCATCGAATGGTGTATAAGAAATTGTTCATTTTAAAAAGTTATGTTATTGAAATCTCTTAAAAAGTAAGAAAGTAAAAAGAGAATCGATATATCTTATTAAGTTTTCCCCATGAAATCAAACAACTATCATCTGAAATATTTTTCGAATTTCTGATATTTATAGAAATAATCAGTTGTATATATTTAAAACGGACATATCACATATATTAATACATATCAACAGCACAACCATTATATTTAAATACATCATTCTGTAGGCAAGGCAAAACAGTCTGCAAAGACGGAAATTGAAAAATTGAAGCTATCTGAAATGACTTGCAATGAATTAGTAAAAGAAGCAGCACGTATAATTTATCTTGTTCACGATGAATTAAAAGACAAGCAGTTTGAGCTTGAAATGAGCTGGGTTGGTAAACACACGAATGGAAGGCACGAGCGTATACCGGCGGACGTAAAAGCTGATGCTGAGGCAAAAGCGAAACAAGCAATGGCAGAAGATTCAGACAGTGACACGGAAGACATGTAAATTGACTCGATAATCTTAAAGATACTTTTTATATTGTAAGTTATAATTTAAATACCTACAAATTACTGCAACAAATTTATTGTCATCTTGATATAGTCAAATAAAGAATACTGTCTGTTGTTTATAAAATTGCATATTCTCTCTTTTTAATATAAAGCATCATTTAGTTTCATAATCTCTCGATGTGTTACAAACGAATGTTATGCATTTCTTTTATCAATTTACCACAGTGTGACATAACTTTTTAATCTGCTCGAGAAAAATCCTGCATCACACATCCATTCGTTAAATGTAAATTCTGTAAACAATCATCCGAGGCCTGTCATCCGAAATAATCCACAAATAACGAGTACAGTTTTCCCTGCCGTTAATTGGATTTGCAAATCTTTTTACTCGCCGAAAAAGGATTCTTTGTACTCTACATGCAAAGGATACAATACAACAAAATCAAGTTTGCTTAAAAAAATAATCCTTAGCAATTTGTAAGAAATTTCCTTTATACATAATTCCAATTTGAACTCTCTGTCTAATCAGAATATAACACAGAATCCAAACAAACTCGATTCCAGCATCAGTTCTCAGGATTGTATTTCCAACCAGATCTCCAGCTCTTTCATCACCTAGTTTCCATCATGATACATCTATCCTCAAGAGAGAATACCCTTACTCAATGCAATTAAGTGCACCAAGTGACCGGAGGTTGAAAACAATATGACCATGTGATCGTTGATTTCATCCTAATGGAATGAAACTGGTAACCGCGAGGGGTTGAACGGGGGTTGCTGCTGTAGTTTCGCGCATGCTGTTTCTACCTGCCGGCAAGAGGGTTGGTTTTAGCCGGTAACGGTGACTGATACAGAGTACGTGCAGTCAGAGGAAAGGGTAGTTTCATCCGGGCTTTATATAAGGGTACGTACAGTTTGAAACTTAGTCATAAACTGCTTTTGGTTGATGCATGTAGTCCGCTTCTTGCGCGACTTCGAAAAGAGGAACGTAATCTGTCCGACGATTAACGCGTTCAATCGGCACGTGGTGCTTTTTCGTTTGCTTTTTCCCCTTTTTCGTGTCGGTGGTAAAAAAAAAAAAAAAAAAAGGGGGGAAAAGGGGGG